GTATGTTGAAATCTTTGTGAGTCTTCCTTCTGGCTCGTGCATCAGTGCTTGTGGTTGCCAGCTATTCAAAAATATCCTTGTATTGAAACCTTATATTTCTCTAATATACTGGGGAAGAAAAAACAAACAAACCAAACAAAAACAACCAACAAAATTTGCCTTTGAAATCGAGACAGAAAAAAATGTTTATTCTTTTGAAATTGTGGTCTAAAAGTTTTTAAAAATGACTATACTAAAGCTCTTAGGTAAGCTTCTTTATATTGCAATAAACAAGTACTTATATGCAAGAAAATCTCGGCAAAATACATTGCACAGGTGCTACGCATCTTAGGGATTTGAAAGGTGTGTTATGTATAAATTAGCTGTCACTTTTTTTCAATCCTGTAATGGAATGATGAGTTGTAATTTGCATAATCCTTTAAGAAGTCAAATTATACTGTCATGTAGCAGACTTAACATGCTAGCTAAGATTTCAGAGCTTTGCAGCTAATTACTATGTACCTTACAGGACAGTTAAATTGAAGTTGAGTCCTCTGCCTTTGCTGCCATTTGCTTTGTCCATTACTTAACAGAATCTGCACTGTTGGTAATGAGGTGTTGTTACTATCACTGAAGTAAACACTCTTCTCTGGGAAGGAAAGGCATTTTAATGTATCAGAGCTTGACTTGTGTTGCTTTTGCTAAGAAGGAAGTTTTTGTTTTTTTTAAAACAATAGTCTAAATTGGAGTCTCCCCAAAAGAATAACATTTGTGCTTCCCATAAAAGTTACGGAATAATGATTGAAGCAACAGTAACCTTTAATTAAAATAAGTTATTCTATAGACAATATAAAGTAAGGCAAACATAGTTCCACTGAAGGCATGAGACTTTCCAGATAGACTTTGCAAATATACTTTGGTGTGTTTTTTGTCTTCAGACTCTTCTGTAGTGGAGTGCCATTATTGAAAAAAAAAATACCCTTTTTCCTTAAAAATCCCTTCTGAATACAAGCTGGTGAGTTCTACTTTCATTTACTCCTCCAGTTGGTTGTAGAGCATTTTCTTTCATGGTTTCCATTTTACAATCAGCAAATTCTGGGGCCAGTGAAGGCTGCTTTCTCAGAGGGACACAAAATGGATACCAGATGGAGCTGGGACTCTTTTCTGTATCTTTGCCACTTATTTTTCTCTGGCTTTATTTCTTGATACTCTGTTGCCTCGATAGTGTTATTCTTTTCATCAGAATTGGTGTAATTATATGCGACATTACTGATTATTATTTTTAAAAAATTCCTGTTATCTGTGAGTCATCCTTATTGTGGCTCTTGGTGGTCAGGTTTCTGTAACTTGCTAGTGATTCTGTGGCTTTGTTGTGATTCGTGGATACTTTGAAGAAGCCTTTTGCTGTATAAGAAGGGGGTCCTTTAAGGACCATCTGAAAGCAGCAGTTGACTGTTGACCATTCAAGTAATTGGAGACCAATAGCCAACTGTTGTTCACTTGTAATTAAGGCAATTTCACGCGTCCGAAATTACTATCCGCTTAGAGGCGGAGGCTTGTCAGCTTAAAGCTGGGAGCCCGGACGAGGTCACTGGGAATTCAGCCCACAGCCAGGCTACCTTTCGAAGTGTAGGTATCATCTCAAGGGCTGGCTTTTTTTTTTTTTTCATTTTCTTTTTTTTCTTTTTTTTTTTTTTTAAGGATTTGTGTTATTTGTAGTCAAGGTAGACACAGTAGGCTACACAGCTGTGACTGCGAAGGAAAGTCACTAGGGGGATATTCATAACAAGGAAATATTGGCAAATAAATGATGAAGAAGGGGAGGAAATCCCCAAGATGTTAAATTGGAGCACTGTCACTGAGATGATTAATGGTGTTGTGTATTTTGTGAAGACGCTTATCTGGACTGTCTTAACTATAGTGTACGTTTAATAGCACCTATAAAAAAAGCATGTGGTGCATCAACACACTGAAGAGAAAAGTCCATGGATTCGGATTTTATTTTCCCGAGTGGGTACTTTCTTCAACTTAGTCTTTGGCTTCTGGCTATTAGAAAGCTGATGTTAACGTTTGTTACAAAGAAGTATGTATATTTTATATAATACTAGTCTGCATTTATGTAGCTCCCATTCCTACGGGATTGAAAACGTTCTTGTGCAAAAGATGGGTACTTTTTCAACGCTCTCGAGGGGTGAGTGTTAATAATAGGGAAATGGTGATTGCTCAGATTTGCCTAGTCTTTCTAGGTAGACAGAGTTGGTCAGAGGGCTACGGTAGTTGAAGGACCAAAGTTTCATCAATGATGCGGTCAGTTTTCTGTCAATTTCTGGTGAAGGAGTGGTTGTCCTGGAAGGTGGTCTAGCTTCCAGTTTTAAACCACGAATATCCTGATTCTATGTAATGAATTACCACTTGCCGTCGGGGATCTTTTGGCAGTGATGGCAGGTGCATCACTGGGCAGTTACTTAACCTTCCTGGTTCTCAATAATTACTGTTAGACATAGAGATAGATATAGACTAATAACATATAATTCTATCTTCACTGAGCTTAGTCTATTTCAGCACTGGTTTTCAGTTTGGGCGGCCCTACCCAAATAGTGGGACAGGAGTCCAATTTAGTGGATCAAGATCAAAATTAAAAAAAACAACTGAGAATTTTAGTGCATTGCACTTAAGGAGAGTGAGTTTCGTGAGGCTTCTGTTTTTGTTGTATGTGATTGTGTAAGTGTACATAAAATGCGTGTGTCCATGGGGTGGGCCCTGAGGTAAAATGTTTCTTACTGTGTGTTACACCCGAAAAAGATAGAGTCAGTAGATAAGTGTATAAACATAATCATGTATGGGTGTTACGTCATTGTGAGGGTGCAGTGGGTTATAAAGAAAGAAATGGTGAGGAATGGAAAGGCTTCCCTATCTGGTCTCTCCTATCAGAATGTGCTGGTGCTGACTTGCATGGGCCCATGAGAATCGTATGCACATCTTTCCCATTCTGTGATCCCTGACCTCATGTTAGTAAGTGGAAATTGGGCAAAGTATTTGCACTATGGAAATTGGAAAATGCTGCAAATCAGGTGCCCTCCAGTCCCCGATGAGTTGTTAAATATTTACCAGGACATCACTGTTCTTGATCCTTTCAACGGTAGTTGTATGGTTTTATAACTGAATTTTCCTACATTTTACAACACTATGTGGGATTTAGATGTTATTGGGAGTTATTAAACAATTTTAGTAATATTGAAAACTTAAAGTAAGCAGGAAAAGAAAACGTGTGGTTAAATCAAAAAGCTATAATTTAGAATTTTAAAAAGGTAGTTATTCTAACTTCTTACATTAAATGCTTATGACATTGCCGACTTAAAATGTAAAATTGTAATCAGTGATAATTTTTTTGGCAAAGGGTAGGAAAGCAGGGTTTTCAAAAACACTAACCATATTGTAAATATTTGACAGATTTTTTTGTTAAGCAATGATTTTGGTAAGTACCGAAACTTAGAGAATCCAGACCCCTTTCCCCCTTTTTAAGCTGTCTTTAAGTTTGCAAACTATATCTGGGTTTTAGTGAATTCATCTGTAAAATCATTGATTTGACTGGGAGATGCCACAGTTCTTTCTAATTAAAACAATTTTGTTTTTTTCTATTTTCAAACATAAAAATAAACGTGTGCAGAGTCTAAAAAGAGGACATGCCTCCATGATAACTATGATAACTTTAAACTTCTAAATAAAGGCAAAATATTTGATTTGGAGGAGAGGGAATTTCCAGGGACACTGATGGGATTTTACCACAAAATACAGTGGCAATCACCTGTGTTAATATGGGATCGTGAGGAGAGGTAACTGGGAAAGAGTAAACTGAGCAAGGCCTTTGTAGCCTCCAAGTTTGTCACAGTTTGGCTATGTGGTTTGACACTATTGTAGCTGTGTTCAAGAACAATCATCTCACTAATACTTAGAGAACATGGATGTGGAGACTGTAGCCTAAAGGACTACTGTTCAGTGAGCACATGCTACGCTGTTGCAATAGTTCCTGCAGGACCCATTTTGAACAAAGGGCTTTCACCCAGAGTGGCTCATCTCTAAGTGTAGCCAAGACTGAGAAGGTGTTGGCCACAAGACTGCGATCACCTAAAGAGAAGGGGCCATTGGCAAAATGGTGGAGGTTGTGTTTCCTGCCTCTCTGTCCAAGCCCCTTTCCCTCCGTGAAATTCATGCCACCTGGATACCTGGTTAGCATTTCGTGCCCAGGCCTTTACCCACGAGGCATTTTTATCCATACCCCTCATTGCACATCAGATGTTGTTAACTGATAATGTTACTCTTCTTAGGGCCATTTGCATTTTAATAAACAACTCTAAGTGAAAGAATTCAAGGAAAAATGGAGTTATTCTCCAATGGAATAATTTCAGGCAACACGACGGGTTGGAGAGAGAAATCTTGGGCTGGAAAGGGAGAGGTGATGTCTTCCTTTTCTGAAAAGAAGAAACCCAGAATGAGGGTGTTCTCCTGCTCAATATAGTGTTCAGGCTGGCTTTGGCCAAGAAGCCTGGGTTTGGAAATGGGCAAATCCAGACTCCAAAGAGAGAAGGAATTAATGAGGTTGGGGACAAGAGAATGAGTGAAGAAGGAACTCACCAGTCTTTATCAGCTGTGTTGTGCCAGACAGAGTGCTAACCACTTGCACGTGTTATCCCAATTAAGGAGAACAAGACAGGTTCCTTGTCAGGCAGGCTGCTGGGGGGATAGATGGTCACCTGTGCTGGCGGGGAGGGAAAGGTCAAGGAGGCTCTAGCAGCTACAGTAGTGAATTCTTCTGGCTGTTTAACCTGATTGATTGATTGCAATTATACAGCACCCCCCCAACCCCGCCATTGGAATGATTTATGCCAGTTGTGTTTGGATCAGTAAATAACAAAGAAGTGAGAAAAGAAATATACAATGAACTTCATAAAGAGCTCTAATAGAATCTGCATGTTAAACATTGAACTTGGTAGCAAGAACTGCTTCAAGCCTTTCAACATCCA